TCTTGTAGATTTGTAGTTGGTGTGGGTTTCTAGTGGGTTTGGGTTCTCTACTGCGTTTGTAGTTGGCGTGGGCTTCTTGAGGGTTTGGGTTCTCTAGTGGGTTTGTAGTTGGCGTCGGTTTGTTGTGGGTTTGGGTTCATGGCGGTCGTGGTGCCGCCTACCGCCTCCGCCTGTTTAGTTTTATTATAAGGGAGCAGGGTGAAGTTAACAGCTTCAGATTCGACGAAGAGAGGGGATGGGGCAAGGGTGAAGTGACTAGAGACAAAAAGGAAAACAAAGAGGTTAAAATTCCGCGACGAGGGGGGATGGGGCAAGCGTGAAGTGACCAGAGACAAAAAGGACGCCCATGCCAACTACAAACCCACAAAAAGCCCACGACAACTTCAGATTCGACGCCAAATACAAACATCATTATAAGCTCACGACGACTTCAGATTCGACGCAAAATACAAACATCGTGGCGCCGCCTACCGCCTCCGCCTGTTTAATTTTATTATAATGCAACAGGGTGAAGTAAGCAGCTTCAGATTCGTTGACGCTAAATAAAAACATCGTGGTGCCGCCTACCGCCTCCGCCTGTTTAATTTTATTATAAGGGAACAGGGTGAAGTAAACAGCTTCAGATTCAACAAAGAGGGGGGATAGGGCAAGGGTGAAGTTACGAGAGACAAAAATGACAACAAAGAGGTTGAAAGTCGACGAGGAGGGAGGATGGGGCAAGGGTGAAAAGAACTTCGGCGAGGAGGGGGAATAGGGCAAGTGTGAAATGACCAAAGACAAAAAGGAAAACAAAGAGGTTAAATTCGCCGAGGGGGGGGGGTATGGAGCAACAGTGAAGTCACCAAAGTCAAAAATTACAACAAAGAGGTTGAAATTCGGCAAGGAGAAGGGATGGAGCAAGAGTGAAGTGACAAAAAACAAAAAGGACAACAAAGAGGTTAGAATTCGGCGAGGAGGGGGGATAGGGCAAGGGTGAAGTGAGCAAAGACAAAAAAGACAACAAAGAGGTTGAAATTCCGCGACGAGGGGGGATGGGGCAATTGTGAAGTGACCAAAGGAAAAAAAAAATAACAAAGAGGTTGAAATTCGGGGAGGAGGAGGGATGGAGCAAGAGTGAAGTGACCAAAAACAAAAAAGACAACAAAGAGGTTGGAATTCGGCGAGGAGGGGGGATGGGGCAAGGGTGAAGTGAGCAAAGACAAAAAAGACAACAAAGAGGTTGAAATTCCGCGACGAGGGAGGATGGGGCAATGATGAAGTGACCAAAGACAAAAAGGACAACAAACAAGTTGACATTCGGCGAGGAGGGAGGATGGGGCAAGGGTGAAGTGACCAAAGACAAAAAGGTCAACAAAGAGGTTGAAATTCGACGACGAGGAGGGATGGGGCAGAGGTGAAGTGACCAAAAACAAAAAGGACAACAAAGAGGTTGGAATTCGGTGACGAGGGGGGATGGTCGAATGGTGAAGTGACCAAAGACAAAAAGGACAACAAAGAGGTTG